AATGGGTAAAGATCCAAAAACTCCCTCCCTGCTCTTTTATGACTCATATAGTTAAATGTAAGTAGTTACACAAATATTAACTTTGTCGGCACTAATAGATCAGCTAGCTTCCGTGGAGAAAAACATTAACCCTGAGGGCATTCTTACGTGACTGGCCATTCTTAAAAAGACGCAAAAAAACCCCTCGTTCCTTTCAAACCAGATTTGCTTTCACAAGCCACATAGAATCATAGAATCCTTGAATCCTGGGCCTGAAAGAGACCTCAGGAGTCATCGAGTCCAGCCCCCTGCCCAAGTCAGGATCAACCCAACTCAATCAACCCAATCGGGGCTTGGTCAAGCCGGGACTGAAACACCTCTAGGGATGGAGACTCCACCCCCTCCCTAGGGAACCCAGCCCAGCGCTTCCCCACCTGCCTAGGGAAATCGTTTTTCCTAATCTCCAACCTAGACCTCCCCCACTGCGAGTTGAGCCCATTGCTCCTTGTTCTGCCACCTGCCCCCACTGAGAACAGCCTCTCTCCAGCCTCTTGGGAAAGGCTGCTCTCAAATCCCCCCTCGCTCTTCTCTTCTGCAGACTGAACAAGTGCCAATCTCTCAGTCTCTCCTCGTAGGTCGTGTGCTCCAGCCCCTGAATCAATTTGCTCGCCCTCCCAGTCAGTCCCCAGCCTGTACCAATGTTTGGGATTCTTCCGTCCCAAGGGCAGGACTCCACACATGTTGTGGAATCTCCTCCGATTTCTTTCGGCCCAATCCCTCAATTTGTCCAGGCCACTCTGGACCCGATTCCTGCCCCCAGCGTATCAACCTCTCTCTCGAGTGTCATCCACCAACTTGCTGAAGGTGCAGCCCCTCCCCTCATCTGGGCCATTCAGGAAGATGTTGAACAAAACCAGCCCCAGAACCGACCCTCAGGGCTCTTGCAACTCCTAAATATGGTACAAAATCAGAGACATTTTTACTCTGTGACAGAGCCTGCCCATGAGTGTTACCACCCACAGTCATGAAGACAAAATAGTCACGGGGCCAACTTGGCTAATCGTGGGATGTGACCCGTGTGTCTGGCACCCTGGTGTCCTGGATGCAGAGAGCGATGTAACTGATTGAAAACTGCCAGTAAAAGTCGGTATTGCAATAGGCCTGGGCTCTCTGCAATTGACATGCAATTCACAGGGTTGTTTCCTTCAAGGCGCAGGGTTCCTGGGCTGTCAGTGCTCAACCTCCACCCTGCATGTCCCTGGGTAGCACTTCCCTAGGCCTCGACATCAGGAGAGAACTTTCCCCTGCCAGCTAGTAAACCCCGGATTTTAGAATGAGCCGGTGCCAGCTCCCAGTGCACCCCCCCCCAACCTGAGCCCTGTGCCCGTATCTTCATGTGTCAAAACTACACCCCTTTTTCCAGATTGTGTCTTTCCTTTTGGGGAGGGTTTCTGGGAGCCCAGCAGAAAAACCCAGGCTCTTATTCCACAGCTGTGACCTTTGGCAGGGACTAGCCGGAGACACAGGACTCTGCCCCAGGTGGGAACGGGAGACACAGCGACGTGATGTCTAAACAACACCCCTTTTCCGAGAAAGCGATGTAGATTAGGCACATCGATATTGCGAATGAAGCCGAGAGTTAAACATCCAGTGCTTCATTTGCATATTAGCGGCTGCCTCCTTTCTCTGAAGCAGGGCTTTTTGGGAAGAAACAGCAATTTAGAGGGGATCTTTTGAACATAAAGCTCTTGTTTGCAAGATCCCTTTTGCCTCACAAAATGAGGTTTCCAGGATCTTTCGAAAAAGAGCTTGCTGTTCGACTGATCCCTTCTAAACTGCCGATTCTTCCCGAAAAAGCCCCGTTTTGGGAAAAAAGCGTCAGCCACCATTATGCAAATGAAGTGTGGGATATATCAATCCCAGCTTCAGTTGCGATATCGACAGGCCTAGTCTCCATCCCTTTCTCGGAAAAGGGGTGTCGTTTAGATGGACGGTTGCTGAGTCACCTGGTACGAAGTCCCGTGTCTCTGGCTAGTCCCCGCCAACGGTCACAGCTGTGGAACGGGCCACTGGGGCTGTTCTGATGGGCTTGCCAAAACCCTCCCCTAAAGGGAACTCATGTTATAGCAGAGACAGCTGGGAACAAGGAGCAGGAGTTTATTGAGTCTTTATTGGGCTGATCCTGCCCTGCCAACGCTGGGATTTTCCTGCACTGAACTTTGCTCAGCTTGTGACTTCCTCTGAATTTGGCACCTGTCAGAGCCCTGGAGAGCTCAGTGCAGCCAGGGACACAGATCCAGCTGTGCCACCTCAGCAGCCAGGTGACGGGGTTCTACACCCGCCACATCGAGGTGACCTGGGAGCAGGGTGAGCAGGTGGTGACACACAGCAGCCTGAGGAGCACCCCCCTGAGGGTGACCTGAGGTGAGTACTGGGGGGCAGGGGGAGGAGTGGGGTGAGGCCGGGAATGGGGCACCTACTCATTCAAAGAGCATGGACACAAGGGGGGGGATGAGTGGCTGGAAATCCAGGGAGGGAGTTTTGGGAGGCACCAGGACCGGAGGACAGAGAGTGGCACTAGGGGGAGGCCGAGGTGGATTGCAGAGCAGTGAACACCCTGGGCCAGAGCAAGTAGGGTCCCCTCCCCTTCCCTTCTCCCTAAAGTCTCCAGAATTCCTGCCAGGGCAAGGGGTCAGGACACAGGGGCCGGCCCCTCTCTGCTGGGTGCCTCTGGGACTCAGACGGAGCTCTGGGTGAGCCCCCCACACCCCCACTCTGCTCCCAAGCAGAAGCCTGGGTGGCTGGAGTGGGTTGGGGCACAGGGGAGCCCAAAATTGCCAGGTGCTGCTGGGGTAGGTGCTCGTGGCCTCGTGGACAATCCACCATTGGGGGAAGGGGAGGTGGCGAGGGGCTTTGCTTGGCTCAGAGGGAGAGGAAGCGGAGAGCACGTTTGGGGGGATGGCGGAAAGTCAACATGGTTTCTGTAAAGGGAAATCCTGTCTTACTAATCTATTAGAGTTCTTTGGAGGGGTTAACAAACATGCAAACAAGGGGGATCCAGTAGATATAGTATACTTGGATTTTCAGAAAGCCTTTGACAAGGTCCCTCACCAAAGTCTCTTGTGTAAATTACATGGCCATGGGATCAGAGGGAAAGTCCTTTCTTGGATTGAGAACTGGTTAAAAGACTGAAAACAAGGGGTAGGAATAAATGGTTAGTTTTCAGAAAAGAGAGGGGTAACTAGTGGTGTCCCTGAAGGGTCAGTCTTAGGACCAATCCTATTCAACTTATTCATAAATGATCCAGAGAAAGGGGTAAGCAATGAGGTGGTAAAGTTTGTGGATGATACTAAACTGTTCAAAGTAGTCAAGACAGAAGCAGACTGTGAGGGACTCCAAGAAGATCTCACCAAACTGAGTGTTTGGGCAACAAAATGGCAAATGAAATTTAATGTGGATAAGTGTAAAGTAATGCACATCGGGAAAAATAACCCCAACTATACGTACAGTATGATGGGGGCTAATTTGGCTACAACAAATCAGGAAAGAGATCTTGGAGTTATTGTGGACAGGTCTCTGAGAACTTCCACACAGTGTGCAGCGGCGGTCAAAAAGTCAAATAGGATGTTAGGAATCATTAAGAAAGGGATAGAAAATAAGACCCAGAATATCTTACTGCCCCTGTATAAAACTATGGTACATCCACATCTTGAATACTGTGTACAGATGTGGTCTCCTCACCTCAAAAAAGATATTTTGGCCTTGGAAAGAGTTCAGAAAAGGGCAACTAAAATGATTAGGGGTTTGGAACGGGGTCCCATATGAGGAGAGGTTAAAGCGACTGGGACTTTTCAGTTTAGAAAAGAGGAGACTGAGGGGGGATATGATAGAGATCTATAAAATCATGAGTGGTGTGGAGAGGGTGAATAAAGAAAAGTTATTCGTTAGTTCCCATAATAGAAGAATTAGAGGACACCAAATGAAATGAATGGGGAGCAGATTTAAAACTAAGAAAAGAAAGTTCTTCTTCACACCGCACACAGTCAACCTGTGGAACTCCTTGCCAGAGGAGGCTGTGAAGGCTAGGACTATAACAGAGTTTAAAGAGAAGTTAGATACATTCATGGAGGTTAGGTTCATAAAAGGCTGTTAGCTGGGGGTAGGAATGGTGTTCCTGGCCTCTGTTTGTGGAAGGTTGGAGAAGGATGGCATGAAACAAATCGCTTGATGATTGGCTTCGGTTCATCCCCTCCGGGGCACCTGGTCTGGCCACTGTCGGCAGACAGGCTACTGGGCGAGACGGACCTTTGGTCTGACCCAGGAGGGCCGTTCTTATGTTCTTATGACAGCTACATGGGTTACTGGATGGAGCAAAGTGGCTGGAGAGAGGGATGCTAGCCCAGTGAGCAGGCTGGAAGGAGAGAGGACAGGGAAGGACACAAAGATTGAGGGGGAGTCCATTGCTCACTCTGTTTCGGGGCATTTCCAGATTCCCAGCCCACGGGCCAGGCTGTTACCATTGTGATCGTAGTTGGCTACCTCCTTGCCGCCCTGAGCGTCGGGAACCTGGGCTGGTACCTGAGATGGATGCCAGGTGAGTGATGCCCCCGTCTCATGTCTGGTATCTGCACCACCTACGCTTCCACCAGCTGGGCGGCTCTTGTCCCCCAACCCCAGGGGGAATGTCTGCCCTGGGCTGTGTGGCCAGGCACCAGGAACCCACTGTCTGGTCCCCATCCCCTCCTCGCTGCTATGAGACACTACCCAGTTAGAAAGGGGGCGCCCGCGTTCTCCACCAACAAGCCAGCGCCCGCGTTCTCCACCAATAAGATGCTGAGTATGTGCTGGGCTGTTCTGGTTCAATGGACTGTTAGTGACCCTGCCACCCAGCTGACCACACCTCTCTGCCCTGCTGGCACTTCGGTGGGTTGTAGTTTTAGGGGCGTTTTGGGGGGAGATTCGGCCAGGCCCTTTTTAAACATTTCCCGGCCGTCCTGCTGATCCGTTCTGACTCTCCGGACATGCCCAGCGAAAAGGTGTTGTGCCGACGGATACGCATCCTCCTGTCTGAAGGAGAGTCGGGGAGGAGGGACAGCAGAGACACAGCCGCAGAGCCCAGCAGAAAAGGACCCAGCGGCACCAAAGATCTTCAGAAAAGGTACCTCTGCTCCCATTTGCGTGGGGCTGGGTGCTGGGCGGGGGGGCTTTACCCACCCAGGTTCTCCTGTGTCTAATCCCCGGCCCCCACCTATCAGAAGTCTGATGCTGAGGTTTCTGAGGGTCCCTGCAGAGTCTGATTGGCCCACAACTGGAGAGCTTGCTCCTGGTGCTATAAATCCCTCCGGGCCTGGTGCTTTCCCTAGATACTGATGCTGATAACTGCCGGCGCTGGAGCCAGTCAGTACGCAGGGAAGGGGTCTCATTGGGAATGGAGCGGGGAGCTCTCTGGGCTGCCTGCACATACTGGCTCCTCCCCAGAGTCAGAGGCTTCTGACGGGACGATGGCTGGTTCCCCGGACTCAGCTAGGGCAGGGTGTAGAGGTGGGGGCAAGGGAACCTGCAATGCATGGCTCCGTTTCTGAAGAGCGGGAGTGGGCAGCCGCCAGGCGTTTGGGGACACATCTTGCCTTTCTTGTTCCCATGACTACCAGGGAGAAAGGGGAAAGGGTCAGATTTCCAGAGCCAGGGGAGGGGCAGAGAAGCCCTCGCTGAGCGGGAGATAAAGTCCTCCTGGCCCAATGTGACATGAGGTGGACACTCAAGACCACGAATTCAGGACAATGTTTAGCTCTCACTGGGGGCTTTTGAGATCACTGCTCCCCCCTGCAAGATCACAGCTGTAGATTCAGTCCTCAGTCCTATGGGGAGCCCAGTGTAGGGCAGAGAGGAGCAGGGAGCCAGGATCCAGGCCCAGGGATACCCCAGGGAGAGCATTATGGGAGGGTGGCAGGGTGAGATGACACGGTGGCGCTCCTGTAGTAATGAGATCTTGTGTATGAATCTGGTCTCACCCTGAATATGTGATCACTAGGAGGTGTGAAGCCCAGCCCCACTCCCGACCCTACATGGCCTTTCTGGAAATACAAGATGGAGATGAAAATTACACCTCCAGTGGGTTCCTGGTGGCGGAGAAGTTTGTGCTGACGGCCGCTCACTGCCGGGGAGAGTAAGTGCCTCTGGGATGGGCCATGGGGACAGGTGGGGTGAGCTGGGAGTACGGGCAGGAGGTGGTCAGGCTGGGGAAGCAGAGCCCAGGGTTCTGACCTGCTTAGGGGGTGTCAGCGAGTCTCTAGGGGCCTCTAAACCCCACAGCCCAGCCCCAGCAATGGGTACATCAATGCGACTGCGGGCAGGGAGCCCACCTGGGGTTTGGCCCCTTGCCCGGTGTGGGGCAGGGAAAGGTCACAGCCCCAGGGCAGCTCTGCAGGGCACGAGACTGAGGGGCTGGACATTGACCCATCTGTGGATCCAGCTGGGAGTGAGACAGAGACACAGGGGGCCTGAGACCCAGGGGCCATGGGGGCAGCGGGGAGGGAAGCTCAGGGCAGCAGCACAAGGGGCTGGTGGTGACAGAAGTTGGGATCCCAACCCCACTGGGCAGGGGCTTTGTGCTTCTGCTGCCCCCCGAAGAGAAACACTCCTGGTGCCTCCTCCCACCTCTTGAGCCAGCCAGACCCAGGCCCTGCCCAGGCTGCAGCTCACACAGCCCCCAAGAGCCACGGATCTTCCTCCATGTCAGAGGTTGACTCTGAGATCTCGGCCTGAAGTCCCCAGGCTGCCCTGTGCCCCCCACGTCGCTGTGCAAGAGCGGGAGCCTCGTGTGCTCATCCCCCTCGGCACGTCCCATCCTGCCCCCAACGGCCCATGCGTAGCTCTTGGCCTTTACAGCAAGATCGCCGTCATCCTTGGAGCCCACGACGTCACAAAACAGGAACCGAGTCAACAACGCATCCGTGTGCGCCGGCAGATCCCCCACCCGCAGTACGACAGAGAGAACTTAAAAAATGACATCATGCTGCTGCAGGTACCACCCCATCCCATCCCCCACCCCCAGTGACCTCACACTGCTGCAGGTACCACCCCATCCCATCCCCCACCCCAGTGACCTCACACTGCTGCAGGTACCACCCCATCCCATCCCCCAACCCCAGGGACCTCACC